AGTCTTTAGCACCAGCCATGTGCTGGACACTGGACGGGTCAAGTGTCATCCTAACTACATGATGTCCATCTTTAAGCTGAGTAATCCTGTCTCAGGTAAGATACGGCCGTGGCATAATCAAATGATCATTGGTTTTGGTGTCACACAGCAGGGTTAACCCCAGTTCCATCACTCTGGACACATTATCCTCTCCAAGCCTCAATTTCTGCTTCTGTGAAATAGAGCCTACACATGCATGCGCACACACACCACCCCCATGTTAAAGGGACACATTTATTGTGAGGGTTAAACGAGATGATATACGTAAAGTGTCTAGCATGGACCAGAACATAGTAAGCACTCAGTGCATCTTCCCTTCCCCTCACAGGCGACTGGGCAAACAGTTCAACTGCACATCCCTTCTAGAAACCTTCACACACACACACCCAGTTGGAAACCGCTTCATTTCCAAAAGTTACCTTAGACTGTCCTCCCCAGCACAGAACTCTCACCAGCGCCCACCAGCCAAGCAGCCTAGAGTAAGTCTCAAAACCAAGAGGAATTTAGCATGCTGTTACACCGCATCAATTGTTAGCCTTCAAAAGTTTTCACTGTATTACAAATGCACAACATTATCCACTGCAGCATTATCAGTATTACAAAATATTAGAAATTTACCTCAATGTTCAAACACAGGGGATTGGCAGAATGAACTGTGCCACATGCACGCAGTGGAGTGATATACAGCTGTAAACAGGATGAGGAACGGGCCTGAAAAGATTTCTGCAATATACTGCTCAACCAAAACCCCAGAGCTCAAATGAGCATATAAAGTATGCTACCTTATGTGTAACAAAGAAGGCGAAATGAGAAAACATCCTACTTTAACAAAAAAGAATCATGAGATGGATAATGCTCCTGGGGGGGTGGGGGGGTGTCAATGAGAGAGACAAGGAAGGGAATAACACTTTCTCTAAGTACTTTTTAATATAGTTTGATTTTTTCTTTCAGTTTCATTGAGATAGAATCAACACACTGCACTGTGTAAGTTGGTTAAGGTATACAGCATAATGACTTGACTTATTTATATTGCAAAATGATTACATAGTTTTAACTTTTAATAGGTTTGTTTTTTAAAACAGCGTGGGCATAGCAATTCTGAAACTGAAGGACTGAACAATAAGTAAATGTGTTGACGTTGCTGGGAACCAGGGAGACACAAATAGGGAATGGGTGTGGGCAAGGACAAACTCCGTGGGGCTGGACTAGAACTGGAGTGTTAACATGAACGCATGATTTCCCATCTCTTTCCACTGAAAGGCCTAGAAACAGTGCTATTCAACAGAACTTTCTGTGATGGCAGAAATGTTCTGTATCTGTGCTACCCACTGCAGTAGCCACTAGTTACATGTGGCTACTGAGCTTAAAATGTGGCTAGTGCAACTGAGGAGCTGAATTTTTAATTTTATTTTTACATGTGAATTGCCACACGCAGCTGGTGTCTACCATATTAGACAATTCTAGTGTAAAGTCAATGACACCACAGTAATACCTAGCACCCAGATCTTGGCTTCTACGTAATATTCCCCAAGAAAAGGAACCAGGGTCCCCTTGAGAAATGGCTGATTCCACGACTGGGGCAGGTAGATTATAAGATGAGTATCTTGTTTGCAGGAAAAGAAGAAGGTGCTGGGGGAAAAAAAAAGAAGCGTGTAACAAGGACCCAGGAGCCAGTTGAAGCGGCTATCTGCCAAATCAGGGACAGCTACAACTCACTGAATAAAATAGGAATCCATGAGTCCATATGGATGACAGATAGACAGACAGGGGAAAGGGAGAGCTCTTCCTGACCACAGCACACGTGAACACACAGGGACACAGAAACAATTACTCATTGACATTTCCTCGAGATGAATCCCACCCTCGCCCCACTCTCCGCCTCATATCTTAATCCACTCTCTAAGTGGCAGATAGAGTACTTTTCAGCTTCCAAAGAAGACATTCATGTCCCTATCACTTTTCTTAGGGAACAAGAAGAACAACAAATTTATTTCTCGGGGTCACCATTTCAACAAGAAAGTGAATAAAGAGTTCAAATGACCCAGGCTAGAAGAGGCTGGACTAAGAGCCCAGGAATTCTCAATTTCTAAGTTGTGGAGAAATCACTAAGGAAACCTCTCTTCTTCCTCCTCCTCCTTCCCAAATCAAATCAGATAAAATTTAGTCACACTCTGTAGCTTCCTGCTCTGGCTCAGAGCCACTCAATCTCACCATCTCTCCAGCGGAAAATATCTCCATGTGATAGCTGTAATGAAATGCAGCCAGAGCATGCATCTTTGAGACCCTCTTAGCTAGCCATCAAAACTGTTTTTCAGTAACACTCCTCCTCCCAGAATTACTGTGATTTCTTTAGTGATAAAATAAGCAAAACACATTTTCATTACACAACATTAACATGTTCTAAGAAGATAAGGAGCAAAAGCCATTTTGTAATCTCCTTAAAGAGACAAATATACTAGACCGTTCTTTTCCTAAAAATTATGAATCTGTAATTTGTTACAGAAAATGTCTTAGACATATAAATACAAAGGAGGGAACACATTATTGCTCAAACAGGTAACATTTATTTCATCAACTCAAACAACCGTACTAAGTACCCTACAACACAAAGAAGTAAGAGATGCAGCATGTGAAATCTGTCATCTGGCCCTTAGAAAACACCATAGAAACACTGGTAATGTTACTGAAATGAATTGGTGAACGAGTGACACCAGAAGGAACTGACCACGTGTCCTCCTTCAGTCCACGGAGTCTGGCCCAGAGGGGTGCTGCTGTTTCTATTTTCCTCAAAGTTTGCAGGATGACGTCAATTGCGAGTTGCATGTGAAATCTAGCAATTCTATTATTTACACTTTAAATTATTTATAGTGTCATCACAGACCTGTACTTCAAGGTCATATCTGGAAACACCCAAGGAGTTAAAAATCATTTTCTAAATGCTGTAACATTCTAATAATACCAGTGACTGAAGCTGAGTGCTTACTATCTACCAGATGCTGCACTAAAGGCTTCCAGTGATCCTACGAGGAAGGAGCAATGGTTACTCCCAGAGAGATGAAGACGCTGGGATCTGAGCCCAGACATGCTGCCTAAGTGCACACACTCGCACACATTAAATTCAGCGTAACAGTATTCTCGTTCTCTATCATCGTTACCCATATCTGAATAATGGACTTACTAATAATAAAAGTAAGAGCTGCCATCAGCTGAGTACTGTACTGTGCCAAACTCCTCACGTATTTCAACTCAAATGTTCACAACAGTTCTATCCATGAACCATTATCATTACCATTTTACAAATAAGGGTATCGGGCCCAGATAAATTAAGTGGGAGTCCAAGGTTCCACAGCTGGTGAGTGGCAGAATTAGGATCTAAACTAAGGTATGTTTGATGACAAAACATACTGTCTCAGGGCCGCCTCCCTCTTCCTTCCAAAAAAAAAAAAAAAGACCAAATGTCTCTTATTTGGGTTTGGGGAAGAGACGATGTGAGAGAAGAAGAAATTCCTAGTAAGAAAACAATGAACTGCAAACAGCTGAGCGCCCAGGATCTCAACGATGAGCCTCTCCCTGAGCCTCTCCCATTTGCGAGGGCTCATTGTTTGCAGGGCCTTGTTGCTGGATTCCTGATTGTAGCAAATTCCAGGGCTCGAGACTGCGGGCTCAGCCTCTGACTAACACTACAGCGATTTATTTGAGGATAAATACCTCTGTCAGTGTGTCTTATGACTGAACACAACAGTCCAAGCAGGCTGGAATGCGTGGAATGCCGAGGACTGCCGGCGCTGAGGCAGCAAAGGGCTACCTCGAGCTGCACAAGGTCTCTCCTCCAATGAGGAAACAGGAACTCTCTGAGCTTCCCGTTCCTGCCGGAGAGAGCAGCATCCTCAGAACCAGAACTGGGGAAGCTGAGCATTGTGAATACTTACAAAACATTAATTCACAGTTGGGGAACAGGCTTGGGAAAGATAAGGAGAAAAGGAGCGGGACTTTTTTACCTGGACATGCAAAACTACTCCTTCCAATAATCAGGGCTCCCTCACCCCTGCTGACAAGACCCCAGACTCTGATAATACCAACTGGCGACACAATTGCCAGAGCAGACTCTCCAGACAGCTGGCTGGCTGTCTCCAAGTCCTGAAAACATGTGAAAAAGCATTCCACTCCCTTCGCAAGGCATGCATGTGTTGGAAGAGTGCACAGGGGAAGCCAGAATATAGTGCACAGAAGCAAGCTGTTTCCCAAATATAAACACAGTAATGGTGCACAGATTAAGAGAACTTTCATTTCAACCCCTTCATTTCACAAATAAGGAAACTGAGACCCAGAAAGTTATAGCAACTCAAGTAATGATTGTAGAGTGTTGGTGGCAGATTGAGAACCAGCACCCAGGTCCCCTGGCCCCAAGACTGGTTCTGCAATGGCGGGAACAGGCTCCCAGATCAGATGTGACGAGCAGCACCTTATCATAAACACAAAAGGCCATCTTTCCTGCTTTGGGAGGGTCTCATGTTACACTGTGAACACGCAAGTTGGGAATTAATACTACAATTCTGGACTCCTAAGTAAAACATTTTGCAGAAGTCAGCTTAGGTGCTAACCTTTCCTTCCATCTCCCAGGCACGTAAAGACATTCACCAAGGATTGATTCTCCTAACAACAGTCAGTGGGGTACAGGCAAGAAAAGGCAAAGTTTTCAGACAACCACCCAAGAAGCTCTAAGGGAAAGTCAATGCCCGTGGGGAAAACACGCGAATGGCCACACAAGGAAGCTGGAAAGAAGGAAGATGTCATCTCTCCACGAGTTATTACAATCAGCTCAATGCCCCCTCCTGGCAGATGAGCACTAATCCTCCTTTCACTTCATGGGCGGCACAAAGTTGCAAGAGAAATACGGCCCCGGCATTGAGTACGTGAAAGTCAGAATCAGAGCGCCCACACTTCAGAAAGAGGGAACTTACAGATGAGGGTTGAAGATGCGACTCATCTTGGAAGCATGGTCGTTTTCACAGTCCAGGTCATCGTCCCCTTGCTCCACGCTGAACTTCCTCTTGCTGGGACTGATGGGCGGGGGGCCTGTGCGGTGACTGGTGAGGGCAGACGCCACAGGGAGGGTGTGCATCCTGGGCTCGCCCCTGAGAGCAGCTTCACCTACGCAAAGAGAGATGATGCAGTCACCAAGCAGGAGAAACGCCGCCACCTCAGCCCCCGCCCCCCCGCCCCGGCTCCCCCCGCCCGCCTGACCCCTTGCAAAACTACTCCCAGTGGAAAGTTTCTGGCAGCATGACGGGCTGCCTGCCATTCTCAGCACACGGTCCGAGCACAAGCTTAGCTGCCAAGCATGAGACATTTTACATGAACGTGCTTTTCTAGCACAATAACTCTTTTTCTCCCCCCAGCTTTATGGAGATATAACTGACATAGAACATTGTGTCAGTTTAAGGTGTACAACATATTGATTTACTGCATTTAGACACTGCAAAATGATTGCCCCCCCATAGCGTCAGCTAACACCTCCATCACGTCACATAATCACCATTTCTTCAATAACTCTTTAGGGTAGCGTTTAAAATTAAAAGTTGCAATAAAGTAACAGAGGGGAAAAAGCATTGACCATAAACCATCTCAAAAGTTAATTTAAAACCTTAAAGGTCTTTAGATTTATGGGTATTCAACCCCATACCTGTAAGAGAATGACCTAACCCAGGGTTCATTAGAACGCGACGCCAAACTCACTTTTCTTGCTTGTTACATTTTTATTACATGTTTGGTATGTTATTTTTTTTAAAGAATGAGGAAAATTTATGGGTTAATAATTCACATATTTGCCCACAAAGTTAAAAGAAATAAAAATACATTTGTTTAATGGGAAATAAACATGTTATTCTTACAGTCCACTAAAAATGGCACACTAAAAATATTATGATTGTGACCAGCACAAAGTTTCTGCATATAACTTGTCGCGAGCTTAACACACAGGAGCAGTTCAAAACATTTTTCAAATTAGAGTTCACATTTTCATCTGATTCGACATCTTGGTATTTTTCATTCCTGTTTTAAAAAGGTTTTGTGCCAGGCGATAACTTTGTGCCTCATTATGAGTTAAAATAAGCATGATCCTTTATTATAATAAACATTGTACACCTTCTGAAATTTATAAACAAAGGTAATAATTACTTTAAGAGAAAACCTCAAACCTTCTAAGTCATATGGGGGGAAACCTAAATTTTTCGCAAATAATAACCCTTTTGTTGTGCTGCTCATATTGGTCTCCAAGGCCTGACCAATTTTGTTTCCACGTGGTCACAATTTGAGAGTAATATTAGGATAAAGTCAACTTCATCTGAGGCCTTGTGGTACCTAAGAAAGGAAATCTTTGTCTGCCACCACTCATTTTCCTATCATCACAGATGTGTGGACAGTGTTAACAGTCGTCTGCTTCTTACGCATATGACAAATACGGTTTTGTTAGGGAAAGGAGGGAGGGAAAAAACCTTCTTGAATGTTTACCAGGAAAAAATAAAAAATTTGCCAGTTTAGTCACCAAGATATAAACTAGCAAATATACAGTGACCCATAATACACCTCCAGGCAGGATTTCTTTTAGGGATTTTGGCCCCAAAGCAAACTGGAACTTTCCATTCTAAATGAAATACCTAAAAAACAGACCCTATGCTGGCCTGCTACACTCAGAAATTCAGAAGGATTCTGGTTGACCTCTACTTCCTGCTTAGTGATTTTTGGTTTAAAAAAACAAACAAACAAAAGCAGTGCTAAGATTTATACCTCGATAAATTAGAAAATACTCTTTGCAAATATGATCCTCCCTTCTACTCTCCTCCCCCACGGAGGGAAGAGGCGGTTTCCAATGGAAAGATCAAGAGCCCAGCTGACTGCTGGAGCACTCTGATGATACCCCAGGAACTCAGCAACTGCAAATCAAACCTCAGCAACAAGGCACAGAGCCACAGCGCCCTCCGCCCAGCGCCTCCCCACAGCCTTGGCAGGACAGCAGGATGAGGGGAGCTCGGGCTCTGTGTGGACCCCTGGGTTTTGGGAGCCACTTCATCAGATGCCAGATGTGTGGCAACCGCAGTTGCCATGGAACACCACCACCACAGCAACAAATTCAAATCACTCCAAAATAGAAGAGTCACTCCTCACAGCAGCAGACACTGTTACACAAAAAGCAAAACTCCCGGGGTGAAAAGAACACGCCCACTCCACCCCCCAATTTCCATCCTTGTTCAAGTTCTCGCACTTGTTTGCATTTTAAGTTTATCAAATGGATGCACCGCTTATCTTCAAGACTGAATTGCTGAAGCCTAACAGAGAAAGAAGAAAGTCCACAGGAATTCTTTGAGAACACCGAGGATCTCTCATCTGGGGGGGCAAAGGACCCACAGAGGAACCACAGGTGGTCCTTCTCCCCCGGGGGCTGCGATATAACTCTACGAGACCCCCTAGAGGTGAGACCCCCTAGAGATGATGGGGACATGCATGTTGCTAGTGCTGGAAGGGCCCTTGTACACGTAGATTCCCTCACTGGACAGAAGAGAAAACTGTGCCCTCAAACTGGGGTGACCTACTCAGCGTCACACAGTTAACAGGGCAACTTGGGGCAAGAACCCACGCCCTCTGCCTACCAGACAAACACCTCCCACTAAACCCTGTGCAAGCTCCACAGAGGGCTTAGAGCAAGGAACTAGGGGCAGAAGGAAAAGAACCCACAGTCAGAAGGGTAGAAACAGGTCTGGTCTGTTCTGTGCCTTCATTGATCCTTAGCCCTCCACCCTAAGGACCCCCCAGCACAACATCTTGTATTGTAGAGCAGGATTTGTTGTTATTATTGTGCATATGGCACAGGAAGATTAAAATTATTGTAGTAAAACTGAGGCGAACATTTGGTCTGGGAGTCAAGACACTTGGAGGACACACTCCCTTTATTTAGGATTAGATGAATATGGGCAAGCACTTCCCCTCTAAGGCCTCCATATAGTGAGGGGACGGACTCGCCAATATCTAACCTTCCTTCAGCCCTTAGAATCAGTTATCCAATTCTATGATCCACAATCCTGCAATAGATCAAGTAACCAACCAACCAAGATTTACTACGAAATTACGACGTCTGTAATACCAAACTAAGGCAGCAAAGCCCAAAGGATGTACCTCAGATGTTACACGTTTACAAAAAGAGGTGAATCCATGATGAAATAAATTTGGAAACCATGAGATTAAACAATTTTCACAGGAGCTTCTTAACTACCGGCTTTCTCGTCTTCTAATGCACGTCAGTCTCCAAGACTGACACACAGCTGTGCTTTCAGCCACCCCCACCCCGATCACCCCACACATTTCTGTGAACGTAGCCCTCCAAGGCCCCATTCTGAGCAGGTCAACCCATGCTAACCCCAAACATGCAGACTGCTTCAAACTTCAAAATCAACATCTGGTCCCAGCTACCCTTCTGGTCTTTGTTTCTAATATTCCTCTTTTTAAGCTCTGAAAATTTCAGCTCTAAAAGTTAAACTAGATTAGTTACCATTCCACAGAACTCGCTGTCTCCCCTGAAGATCCATTTCTACTTGGCTTCTTCCCCGGATCTTCTTGTATTTAAATCCTACGCATCCTGCAAAGGCCACTTAAAATGCCGCCTCCTCAGGTTGTCTTGATGCCTGAAAATCATCTCTTCTTGGGAACACCCAAAGAAATTATCAACGTGGCAGTTCCCTTCCTACTGTGTTTGGCACTCTTTGAAGCAAGGACATTTGATTTATTTTATACACTTGAGAGCACAGAGCACAGTATCTCCCACACAGTAGTTGGTCTGTAAATACTGACTGAATGAATAAATGATGCAATGCAATGGTGAGCCCAGGTTATGGAATTTTAGGGTACAATAAAGATCAAAGATGACACAGAATAAGGAATTTTAAAAGATCTATTAAAGAACATATTTATATAAAGAACTCTTACAACTCAACAATAAAAAGATAACCTAATCTAAAAATAGGAAAGAATCTGAATAGACATTCTTCCAAAGAAGATACACAAAATGGCCAATGAGCACATGGAGAGATGTCCAACATCACTAGCCACCAGGGAAACGCAAATCAAAACAATGAGCTCCCACTTCACAGCCACTAGGAAGGCTATAATCAAAAGATAGATAGTAACAAGTGTTGACAAGGATGTGAAGTTGGAACCATCGTGCTGGTGCAAATATAAAATGGTGCAGCTGCTGTAGAAAACAATTTGGGCAATTCCTCAAATGGTTAAATACAGAGTTACCATATGACCCAGGAATTACACTCCTAGGTATACATCCAAGAGAAAAGAAAACATATACTCACACAAAAACTTCTACATGAATGTTCACAGCAGCATTATTCATAATAGACAAGACTCAAACATCCAACAACTGATGAACAGATACAAAAGAATGTGGTATTATCCACACGATGGAGTATTATTCAGCCAAAGAGGAATGAAGTACTGATTCATGCTACAAGATGGATGAGTCCAGAAAACAATATGCTAAGTGAAAGAAGCCAGACACAAAAGGCCACATATTGTCTGATTCCATTTCTACGAAATGTCTGGAACAGGCAAATCCATAGAGACAGGAAGTAGAATTAGTGATGGCTGGGGGGTGGGAGAGGGGGAATAGGAAGTGACTGCTAATGACTACAAGGTTTCTTTTGGGGATGATGAAAATGTTCCAAAATTTATTGTGGGAAGGTTGCACAACTCTGCGAATACACTAAAATCCACTGAATTGTATGCTTTAAAATGGGTGAATTGTATGGTATGTGAATTATCTCTCAATAAAGCTGTTACCCTCCTCCTCCACAGTAAGAATGTATTTATAAGAAGATGACAGAAGACCCCAGTATCATTAGATCTTTTTTTCTCTCCCAGATTTTTCACACACAACTCTTAAATAAGAACAAGCTACTCATTAATTTTCCCTGAAATAAAAATAAACCTTTCATTATTATAGCTATGTCTCTCTACTATGTTACAGTCAGATAATTATAAGAATACTTATTAAGTTAAAAAAAATCAAAGCAGGCCAGTGGCATAGTGGTTAACTTCACGTGCTGCACTTCAGTGGCCCGGGGTTCGCAGGTCCGGATCCAATCTTTCTC